CGCCGCTGGGGGCCCCTGCGAATCGCATTGTAAGTACTGCGGGGAGGGTGTTTGAGAAGCCTGTCTCGGCGCTCCTGGTTGCGGCGCGCGTTGTCGCCGCTGGGGGCCCCTGCAAGTCGCAGTGTAAGTGCTGCGGGGAGGATGTTTGAGAAGCCTGTCTCTGCGCTCCTGCCATTGTGTTTTGCAAAGCAATGGTTCTCACTGTATGCTAAGCGCAGTGTAAATGCTGCGGCGAGGGCGTTTATGAATGGCCCCATCATAAAATCCTCAAATAATATAGGGCGCTTATGTCTCGATTGCAAGCCTAACACGGGCTGAGATCACTCAGCCGGCAGAGAATAGAAATGAATAATGGGGGGTGCAATTCAGTGACCTCCGCTTTTGAGCGACATGATGACCGCGCCCTAGCGATAGAGACCAACATCAAGTAAGTTGGTCTATGAACTTGTGAGCCTGCAGCTGTATGTCAGAGAACATCAGAGAGCATTTGAGCGGACCATCCGTGAGATATCCAGGCTCGAAACACGTAACCCGTGCAACATGGAGCCATACGACGATGCGATGTCTGCTGCCTGCGCTGCTTTGCAACGGATGATTGAGAGCAGTTTGGACATGCCGATCGAGGATCAGCCAACACTCGACCGGCTTTTGGCAGCGCACCAGTATCACTTCGGTGATATTTCAGATTGGCCAAATGACATCTGTGAAATACTTCCTGGGGAGATGATGTCTTTGGAACCGCCTGAGATCTACTTTCTCGGGAGCTTGGCTGCCTGTCGCCATCTCCGGACTCACCAGGAAACTGTCCCACTTTCCTATCGCAAGGTGTCGGTTGTCTTGAGCTTTTGTCCGCGGGAGATGAAACGTATTCGTGGGCAGCCAGAGGTGGGCTGGAAAGCGTGGTTTGAAGGTCTCCAGATTCGGTGGTTTACGTTCGACGTGGACGATCCCAGAACATACTTGGATGACACCAATACTTTTTGTCAAGAAGTGGGAAATGCCTGGTTGTCATCGTGGATGGACATGTGCTGCGCTCTTCTGAAGCACTTGAAGGCAACGACTCAGCGAGAAGAACGAGGCATCCTCTTTCATTGCTTCGGCGGGGTCAACCGCAGCTCAGCGGCATTGTGCGCGTGGTTGATCTTTCGTCGTCAGCTCTCCGCGGAAGCGGCTGTGCAGAGCTTGTTGACGGCCCGTCCCACGCTTCACCCCTGGAAGCATCGGCCGCATGTCTTCTGGGCATTGCGTACTTGGGAGAAGAACCTAAATTCCTTTGTAAGACCTCGCATTTTTGCTGCACTTCAAGAACTGTGAGCTAGCATGCCGGCGAGTCGACGTGACGAGCTGGACAGACTGTGACGATACACTGCTGCGAAAAGAGTCGAAAACAACGCTGCCTTGCGTTGCATAGCGACTGACGGAGTTCGTTTCTCAAAAGAATTGACACTGACCAAGTTCGTTTCTGACATCGACACTTCTGATGTTTTGTGCTAGCCTCCGCCTTCAGTGTTGCAAATATATACTCACTGTTCGTGCGAGTTGACCGGAGCTCAGGTCCTGCCTGGAGCTCACTCTACATCTCTGCGTGAGAGAAAACAAGCGTGTCTCACCTCTTCTTGCTTTACATCCTGCTAACACTGCCCGCCGTGGTCGGGATGAGACCACTTGATAGCTTTGATGGTCGTTTCGAGTGTGTTACGTTTTGAAGGTCGCATGCGGATCTGATGGCAAAATCCACAGCCTCACCCACACACACACACACGCACGCCATCTCACCACACACACACACCTCCTCCCTCCCCTCCTTCTCATCCTCGTCCATCACATCATCACTTATACTGCACTTATACCGCCTCATATGCCTTCTCTCCTCACACTTCCTTCTTGACTTTTCATTTCACTACTCCGTCTCCCAAGTGATGTTCATATACATTTGAAATTTGTAAAACTTATCATGTGGGGTTATCCGGTCCTTTTATTTATCCTCCAGTAGTGAAGCTAGCTGTGGTTGGGGGTCCCAAGAAACACCTGGCACAGGACGTTTTCCTGAAACTTCTAGCTCCTCTGCAAGAAGCTTTGCGCCTTGATGGCACTCTGATGCCAAATGAGGTGCGGCCAGGTGGCTGGCTGGGTCGGAATCCCTGCCAGTAAAGAGAGGTAGTGGTGTCAGACCCTTCGGAATCTGTTTTTGTTCACCATCCTTGAGTCACTGCACCATCCCTTTGCCTTGGAACTAATGCTTGAGTCTGCGGGAAAGAAGATTAAGCTCCCAAACATGCTTGATGCCCTCGTTGGACAAGTACTTTGAAGGCAGCCGCCGGGGCCGCTGGCTCGCGATGTTTGCTTTCTCCGTTCTTCGACTGAAACTGATGTGGGACTCCCTCGACTGAACAGCATTTGGGAGAAAACGCGAGGCGTCGTCATCCTGTTGTGTCATTCCCTGCCGGCAGGTGTCCAAACTGGCTTGGATGTTCTCAGCTGCACGAGTCTATGAGCACGAGATGATACCTGTAGTGGGCAGCGTGAATGCACTTGGTGTGTGTGTGCGTGCCTTATGAATGATTTGATGCAATGGTCCCCAAATCAGCTGGAACCACTAGGGTATTACTATTCCTTGTTGTTTTATTGTGCCTGGTTGTGTGCTTGCAGATACTAGCATATTACACAGCCTCCGCGTTCATGGGCTGTATTATTGAGAAAAAGGAGATACTGAAATCGCTGAAGTCTACCCAGCAAGAGAGGCCCAGAGCACCTGCATTGGTAAACTGTAACTGCACCCTGGCTCATTGTTGATATTGTTGTGCTCCAAATCCCGACCTTGTGTACTTGAAAAGAAGGCGGTTAACCTCCATTGGTATCAAACGCTGTGCATTTATGTGCTTTCATTTCCTGGCAGTGCTACGTTTACACATCTTGGTCGACCTTAGACCCCCTTAGTCTACTGCTGAAACCACACACCCACCCGAATCGATGGATCACCGCACCTATCAGCCCCCCCGGTGGCTTTTCGTCGATACGTCACGGGCGCGTGAAGAGGAGACTTGGCCTTGCGCACCTCAGACATGAGGCACGCTGAGTTGGCCTTGGTTGTGCATTGGGTGGTCGTCTTAGGGTTTAGCACAGCGCTCTGACTGAGCGGTTTTGGCCAACATTTGGGCGGTTTGGCAGACAAGACTCGCGGAGACTAGGGCGTTTTGGCTTGGTGTTCAAAAGGGTCAAGCTGCAGATGTGATGCAGTGGCTTGCTCCATCGCAGACCGCATGATCTGTGTTGCACATCCACTCGCATGCTTTCAGCTCTCTACTGGCTCAAGGGCGGTAGAGTGTAGTAGTAGAGTACTTCATCCTTCCAACTCCACAGCGGACGTGCGGACCTCTCGCGGCCGCGCTTCGCGGTCCGCGCGTTCCGACCAGATGCCGCGGTCGTCGCTGTCGCGCTCAGCCTCCGAGACGCGAGTGTCCGAAGATCGAGCTGCACGAAAGCTGGACCTACGCCGGAGGGCGGGGGAGATCGTGGCTCGGTTGGGCACCGGCATTTGGTTTCAGAGGATGTCATCATGTCCAGAACCTTCTTGGGCATAAATTTCTGAATATGATGGGTACTTAGGCGTTCTCGCCCCCTGTAGGCGTTCTTGGCTCCGCTAGGCGTTCTTGTTCTTTTGGTCATATACCTACCACTGGCTCCAGGAACTATAGAGATACAGGACATGGAATGAATTCACTTGATGTTTCACTTCTGCATGCGTTTAGTTTGTCTATGCTTTCCCTAGACTTCCGAAACAATTTAATAGACTGTTGACCTGGCTTTAAGGTGTAAAATCCTTAGTTGGTTCAGTAAAGCCTATTAATATAATGGTGGTTGGAAGTCTAGGGCTGTCATTGCTTTAGTATATGTTTTTGCACAGGCATTCTTCCCGTCACTTAGGCGTTCTTACCCTTTACTTAGGCGTTCTTGCCCACTTTGGCGTTCTTACCCGTTCCCCCCTCACAACAATCAGTGGTCGGGTGAACAAACGAATGGTAGCTCTTTGGGGGAAGAGCAAGTGGCATGAGTTTCAATTTCTTTACTTTAGACCGGGCACTAGCGTCAGGTTGCTTTCTCAAAAGCTTTTCCATTCAGATTATGGTTTTGCATCCTGCATGTAAGAATTCATGTCGATTGTGCCTCAACATTTTTCACCCTGGAGGCTGCAGCTTAGGCGTTCTTCGTGAAAACGGACATAAATGTTCTGCCTAAATGAAGTTGGGCGAAATTATTGCCTAATTAGGTATTTCAATGTATTATTCAACAATATTCAACATGTTCTTTTTGGTATTTTTTAGGTGTGCCACCGACTCATTTGTTTTTGTTCGTGAGTTGAACCCACCAACGAGGTGGCTCTGAACTCGCTGTACGCTCAGTCGAGTTCCGGAAGCCTCCAGCATGCAGCCCTTCCACGCATCCGCAACGTGCTGGAAGCTTCGGACGAGCTGCTCGCAGAGCAGGCGGATCAGAATCTCGGAATGCTCCGCGACAAGCACTGGGCACGGGAACGTTTGAGGCGCGAGAAGGCCTATGCGGCCACGCAGCCCAAGGGACCGGAGGAGCCCAAGTGGGTTCTGCGGCGGGGCACTTGGTACTATGAAGGTGGCATTCAGCCAGAAAAGCTCCCAGCAGATGAGGCGATGGCCAAGTTTGTGCAAGAAGAGGAGGCTAGAGGTCGAGGTCCACGCTGGGAGAATGACATCGCCAAGCCGGGACTCATGAGAAGGTTCTTCCAGCGAAATCCCTATGGCGGTTTTTTCGCTGAGTTGTGATGCAACCCAAAGAATTTTCTGCGTGGATACCAGTGCCTTGTCGTATCCCAGAGCCAAGATATGCACCTTCTTCTGGTTTCACTTCGACTGACGCACTGCAAAGCAGGCACGCCCAAAAATACGCCAGCGCAGCGTCCTTGCTTCGGAAATCTTCGGAAGTTGGGGGACATGCTACATAAATGACCTGATGCACAGCAGCAATGCCAATCAGAAGCTGAGAAGAACAAAACTTGATGACCATCCATCCCCCTCTGAAAGTTCCAAACATGTTCAAATGTTCACACGGCTTATGAATGCCTGTTGAGCTAGTTGTAGTTGTAGCTCAGAATATTTCCCTCCCTTCTTTGGGCCAGTCCCCCCGGTCGAACGGGATTTATCGCCCAGTCGTCGCGCCAGGCCAACCCACCTGGCACAAGTCTCCAACGGCCTCGGCCGGATTCTGGCGGCGCCCAACATGGAGGAGTCGATCCTGCCCACCCTCCAGCGGGTCTTGCGCCCGGGAGAGGATACACGACCCGACCGGAGACCTCAGGTGGATGGAAGGGAACTCAGCCGATCAGCGCGGCGAAGAGACCCTTACCTTGGGCTGGCCCAGCTGAGCTTCGATTGGGCCAGGGGTGGATGATCCTTGCAGGGTCGAAGACCGGTCACCTGAGGAGAGATGGGATGTGACGGGAGCCCTAGGGCCCTAGGGTTTATGAACCGGAAACTGGAGAAAACATGATCCAAAATGGATATTGATGGGTTGTGTGATTTCTGAATTGGTGTGTGGACGTCGCGTGTTTTTTTTGGGGCTGTTTTCCCATGTGTTTTCTTTGAATTTACATCCAACGTGCCCTGCGGTGATGTGACTAGTGGTGAAGATGCCCCGAATTCAGAGGGAATTGGATAGAATTTGGGGTGTTTGTACTGGTGACTTTTTGAAGGCTGCATTTTCTTGATAGTTTCAAATCACAGGTTTTTGGTCGCTTGAGAAGGGATAAACAAACCAGCCGTACGTACGTCAGACCTTGTCCTTGTTGTGGACAGCATAGGTTGTGTAAGGTTCATGTGCAAGTATAGTGAATACATACTGTAGTGTACTGTTCCTCCCTTTTGCACTTAAACCACCTGAAAGTGCACCATCTACGAGAATTCGTGAGACCACCTTAGGCCTTGTTGCCAGCTTTTGTCACTGGGGTGGGGTCAGGTCGCCCGCCTTAACAAGGTGTGCCAGGGCCAATACCCTGCTACCCACCAGCTTGCATTTTGCTGTGGATCGTGGATTGCAGATGTTGCACAAAAAGCAATGGACAGGCTTGATGAACCCCGCAGCTTCGCCCGGTTAAAACTATATAGGACCATTCATTTGGGATTGGAGATTTTGAATGAACTAAGAGCTCACAGCTGTCCATCCATGGACTTCATGCTTGCTCCGTCCGCGCCCTTGGACCAAGTGAGGGAGCAACTCCGACAACAAGACCTGGGCTTGCTGCAAACCCGCGATGTGCAGGCAAGTGTGATGGGTGGAGGGGCATTTTCTGGAAACTTACTTGCAGGTACCCATAGAGAAAACGTGCATCACAGGGCTCCAAAGACGTGTAAAAGCACCGGACCCAAACCTGCAAGCAGAATCCCTGTAGATGAACACATTGGACTGTACGTTTCGAATCGTTTCGATTCCTTTCACACCTGACAAATTTTGGAGGTCAAATCCCGACTTCGGGAGAACCTCCAAGCCAAGATATCCACAAGACGCTTTGGAAGAGGACAACTTTTGTCCAAGTATGCGTCTATTATATTTTGTAATTGTAAGATCTTGATGAATATATACTGTAACCCCTAAAACCTCTTCATATGGGGGGTTTATCAATCAAGATCCTATACTAGTCCGTTTGGGAGAGGATTTTTTGGGTTATTCAAGTCCGGCAGCAGAACTGCGTCCACCACTACCACCCATCACCACATCAACATGTTTGCTGCGCCAACAGCCAACAATGACTTCGCCAGGTGATTGATGGATCGATCCATATATGGCACCGTTGAACGACATATCTTATGACATTGTCTACCTCAGGACATTGCCACAGTTTTAGGGGCATGTGTCGCCTCACCATGCTTTTGGCATACTGCGACCTTTAGCTGCGCAGTTCCCCTTGACCAAACTCGACCTGTAGGGATCTTCGACGACCCCTGTCCCGACAAGGCGTTAGCGGCATGTTTCAACCGCGTCCCGGTGGGCTGGCCTGTGGTGGTGGAGTTCTTGCAAGATATGTTCACTGGGCAGCAAAATGGCGAGGGATGCGAGGGAAGATCAAAAAGGCGTCCGGCGGAGACGGGCTTGGGTGTTTGGGTGTGTATTGTATTAGGGAGACCTGCCAGTTCGACCGCTGGAAGAAGGGAAATAAACCAAAACCCAGTGGTTGAGGGGTCTCCCTATGAACATGTACACATCCATGTACAATTTTGGCGCGTGAAGCAAGGTGAAGTTGGCGAGGGAGAGTCAGATGAAAAGCGAGATAGTTTTCCCCGATACTTTTGGAATTGATTGGTCAAATCGGAATATAAATAAGTTAAAATTCCTATCTCTCACTCTCTCTCTCACCTGCAATTCTCCAGGGTACGTATTCAATCCCTTTCTGAATTCGCAACATGTCGCAACCAAGTCTTCTATCTTTCAGCAGGACGCTTTTACCGCTGTGCCTGCAGCCGCGGGCGGCTACCGCCCGAGGCTGCGCTTCTACCATCGGAAAGACCTCAGCTCCGAGCAGTCCTTGGATCCACGGTCCAAGGCGCGGGTGCTCCAGACGTGCCATACGGTGGCCCACCCCGGCCTCAAGTCCAGATCGAGAAAGGCATTTCGAAGGCGCCATGGAGCCTGAAAACCATTGAAAACCACTGGTTGGTAGAGGAAAACCATCTTCCAGGGGGGCAGACAGTCAGGGTCCATCTTCGTTTTCAGCAGCCCAGCTTCTTCAGTTCGTGACCTCTTTGGAGTGCCTGATTGTGAAGGAACTACCAGGCCCAAACTTGTGACCTCAAACTGGGATATCAAAAGGTCACTTTGAAGAACCAGGAGTGTAAACCACTGGGTTTGGAGGAAAACCATCTTCCAGATCTTCGGGGGCAGACAGTCAGGGTTCATCTTAGTTTTCAGCAGTGCCCCAGACGCTCCAAACAGCTCTTGGTACCTCAAAACCCTAGGGATTTGAGACCCCAGACCCCTCCATATGAGGGTCCGACCCCTCCATATGAAGGCCCATGAGCGTCTGGGCTGTATAATCTTTTTATAATATATATTTTATTAATATTCTATTTGGAAGTCGCTCGAGGTTCATGGAGACCTGGCCTGTCAAGTCACCTGCACGGCCGACCTGCGCGCGTGCGGCAGTTGCGTGTTGCGTGCGGCACGCGCGTGGCCACGGCGAGAGGTGGTTCTTTACCGCAGCTTCTTGCGGCACCAGGAGGCTATGGAGCAGAAGGAGTTGCAGGATGCCATGCAAGGCGCCCGATGTCGTTACTGGAGGATGATCGGATTCATGTCGTGTTGATGTCATTTTTACTTTCGATTTGAGAGTCGTGATCCAACTGCACACCATGATCTCTCCAAGACTGTTTGTTTTGAACAACCTCACCTGGGGCCCCTACAGTAAGAGATGCGATGGAAAGGTGATGAAGGTGGATTGCCCTTGAAATCCAAACTCCAGCTCATGCCTCCCTGGACGTGACAGAAACGGTTTGTAAAAGGGGACTATACGACTAATTATCCTTCTTGAGGCCCACAAAGGGCCGGCATGTTCCTGGCCTTTGTATGGTACCTCATGGCTTTGTAGCATGTTAGTGAGTGACCTCATGTGGCTATGTGACTTCTTAGTCTTGGTGTGTCTGTCTCTTACTCTCGGCCGCGTAGCCGTTTTCTCAAGAGACGTCGCGATCGAAGTGGTCGAGACGTCCTGAGCGATCGTTTTGGTGTCACCGCAATGGAGGATCAGTGCCGAAGGCATTGGTGACCTCTCATGACAAGCCCCACCAACGCAAACGCATTGCAGAGGTTCTTGTCAATTCCGGAGGAGGGCGGACTGCAAAGTCAAGATGATGAACAGGTCGTTTGGGTCCTTTGGTTGCAAAGATGCGCCAGGGATCCCAGTTACCACTATACAAGGAACCAGGTATTCTATAGGTCGTATAGGTCCAATAGTCACTATATATATATATATATGGCTTGGATGTCCTTGGAAACAGCTATAGGCAAGAGTGGTAGCTCGATCCCTTGGACGTTGTTTGGCCATGGGGGGGTCCAAAAGAGAGATGGGAAGCCTGCGCCCTGCCCAACTGCGCGTCCAGCAATGCATCGTCCTTCCTAAAAGCGTGTCCCTGTGGGACGGCTGTAGCCAGACGCTGCCGAGAGAGAGAGAGAGATGGGCTTCCCACTAAGACGATGCTTCCACCCCCCAATTAGGATATGGAGATGGTTCATGGCACCAGGGCGACCTGGGTGGACCACCAAACATGAAGCGAATGGACGACTGGACATGGTCGTGGGCTGTTGCTGTTGGAGTTCTTCTCAATCTCCTTTTGGTGCGTAGTGAGTCATACGCACTGACACCGGAAGAATTCGGCATGCATCGAACAAGGCACTCAACAAAACAACATCCCCAAAAACACCCAACATCCTTTGAGATCCTTTGTTTTCCTCGACCCCCCAAGGAGTTTGCAGACGTCGTTTCCATCGGTTTTTAAGGTCTACTGCCAGGGTGAGCAGGAGAAGAGCGACGTGTTCACCTGCTGCAAGTCCAGTCAACGGCCGAGTCGAAAAGCGCAGGTCCCTAAAGGCGAAGGTTGGAAGACATGGCAGCCCATGTTGCAGTCCAGCTTGCCGAAGGCCCGGTTGTTCAGCTGGCATACCGTTCAGGTCGTTGGTTGATGTTTCTTTTTGACCGTGGCGAAATCCGTGGCGAAATGAGCCTTGGTACAGATTTTTCAGATGGTTTTAGGAGGGTGGTTCTTGTTGTTGATGTGGTGCTGGTGGTCGTTGTGGTTGTTGTGGGAGTGTATTGCAAGCCGCCCGCTCTTTGATTGAAGTATATTGAAGTGTTCCTGCCATTCCGTGCTTGCAACCTCAAGAGGAAGTTGAGAGATCAACAAACAGACTTCTCTCTCTCTCTCTCTCTTTCGCATTGTGCCGACACCTGGGTCATCCCTCATGCAAGATATCCCGAGTAGTCAACAGATTTTGGAGCTTCGCCTTTACAGTTCGATTCTTCTGTACTTAGTTTTGTTTCAATGTGCAGATGTTGCCCACCCCAGATTGAGTGGATTCAGGGTATTGATCGAAGTCACACCTTCTAGATCCTTCTAGGGTTTAATGCTATTGAAAACATTTGACGCCTACTGTGCAATGCAGATCAGCAGCGCAAGTGTCCTCGCCTTGGGTGTCGCCAAACTCCGCATAACATAACTCTTCAGGGATCTACGAGCTTCATCCCGGAATTAAGTTAGCACTAGCATGATGTCGATCAAACTATGTATTAGTTTAATGACTCTTCAATCAGTTACAACCTGACATGATATTATCATATGACCCTTCAAGAAGTTACATCATGATCTTACCACCATGCCCTAGCCTTCGGCTGACCTGTACAGGAGTTCGGGTGACCATCGTTGACCTGTTGTAGTGTCAACTCCTTAGCAAAACATGTAGATTCTTCGGGAGTCAGACCATTAAATCAATGGCTGACCAGGAAGGCAGAAAGCCTAGGGCAAGTCGTTAGACCCTTCAGTTACTGTATACCTTATGCATTTTCACCTCTCGGTCATGAAGTGAACGATGGTAACTCCGAGCTAAATTCCACCCTCAAGATGTTCACAGCCATCCCAAATCATCCAAAGCCGGTGGAACATGAGACCACCCTTAAAGCTCCCAAAATGATCCCAGATCCCATCCAAACATCTCAAACTGTTTGATCCTCTTGATTTTTTTGACTCACAAAATTTGACCCTCCTACTTGTACCCCTGGCCAGGTTCCAGCACCTTATACCATGGCGGAGCGGGAGGTCTTCTGGTTGGATGCTGGAATCATGTTGGAAGCCAGCCTCTCTGGTGGTCATGGGGGCCGTTGGCCTCCCTTGCTGGTCGCTTGGCAGAGCATCGATGGCCTTTGACTGTTGATTAGTAGATGGAACACCCCCAAGTGCACAACCAATGTAGGTGTGTGGTACTGAACTGACCCCTCGCTCATCCCTGACATCCTTCATTTGGAGCTCATGCGCGCTTGGAGTTTGGTGGGGCTGGCGAAGCGAAGGTTTGGTGAGTCCGCTGATGGAGTTTTTGATTCTTTTTGGGAGACTGTTTGAATCAGTGGATCAGGTTGATGAATACGCCCTAGGGCTCCTGGCCCACCTCCTGAGAAGATGGTTGGGGTGGGTTTGGAGGGTCTAAACTCCGAACCTGAGGATATGGTAGGAGCCCTAGGGATGTTTAGCTTTCCAGCCTGAGGTCACGGACCGGGAGAACCTTTGCCAGGTGGCCGCCACGGGATACATCCGCCACTTGCACACGACAGAGCTGTTGTAGACCGGTGTTGCCGACTGCAGATAAGAGGACAGACCCAATAATGTTCCATGGATAATTACAGTAGAGTGTTTAGGATGAATCATGCTGGGCCAAGTTTACTGCGATTCAAGAAGACCAGATTTCAAGAAGGAATGGACTCGACGAGAAAACGTGGCGCAACTCCATGGGAGTTAGCAAGCTGCTTTTGATGTATGTGTGTGTGCTTTTTTGCGTGTTGTTCAGGTCTTTGAGTCTATGGATGCGGTTGCACATCTCCAGTCGTTTCGCCACATCTACTGTGAATGGAACGTTTTTTGAAGGAATCACAATTCCAGAATCTCAGATTGTGATCAATGACAAAGTTTTTGCAGTTGTTACCTTGATCGTAAATGTATATCTAGCCTACTGTATATCAAACTACAGATTGCAGTCCTTCACAAAGGAACCGGCTTTGCACCACACATCCTCAAACAAGCTTTGCTTAATCTTGATCATGCTTTTCGCTGAATACATCACCTGCCCCAAGACTCTCACACCAAGACTCTCACACCACACCTCCACAAACGGTCGGCATTTTCAGTATGGTCCTCTTCTCTCACCTCCGGTCCGATCCGTTTCACATCGACCAAAGTCCGAGCCTGTCCGACCCGCGACGTCGGCGACGTCTGAGGCAGCAAGTTGGCGGAGGTAGCTCAGATCCGTGGCTCACCGCAGATCCCTGAAACGGACCCCGCGAAACGCACGGGCTCCGGTTATGGCCGCCCCCCTTCCGTGAAGGTGGTTAGGGTAAGTGCCGGCTTGAGGAGTGGGGCGGGCCAGGAGTCCGTACCCATGCGATCAGTGGATCACTTGCTCTTTGGGGGATTCGGGATTGGGGACACCCCCACATCTAGATGAAGCCATGGATAGTACGGTTCACATGTTCTTTTTCAGTGAACCTGAGGGATTCAGAGAAGGCACTGGCACCCCCTAAGACGTCTTCGAGAGGTGGCCTTCAGACGTCGGACGGCGTCGGGGTCGAGATTATCCGAGATCATCCGAGATCGACCTGTGGGGACTCGAAGTTGCACCAGGGGGGGCCAGCAGTTGTAGTGATTTGGGCGGGACTTGGGTGGGTCTCTATATGCCCCTTTGGGCTCCTGGCCGGGTTTTCCTGAGGTGAAGGTGGGACTGGCATGGACTGGGTGGGTGGTCGACTGGGGGGTCGAATGCCACTGGTCACATGAGGATATGGGGCAGGAGCCCTAGGGATATAGTTCCTATACTCGTAGAACCCATTGGACCTTTGTTTTGTATAGGAATTCCGGCAATGTTTTGGCTCCAAAACAGGGGTCAATCAGGTTCCAGGTAGATGTTCCATGATGTTCCTAGTGTTTTCTGGTACGTTTGCCTTCAGTCGAGCCAGTGTCACACTTGCGTCACACTTGCTTTGACACGACTTGCAACGTGTGGTGTTTGCAATAGTGTTTAAGTTGGGGTGGCCACCCAAGAAATTGGAAGGGGACACTTCGGAAACACACATCTACTCACCAAGCAAGTGGTTCTTACACCGACCAGTGGTTTTTGTTTCCCACATCCAGCTGAATGATCTCAAACTCCCACTTCCACCCCCCGTTCCCTCCTTTCTTTCGCCTATTCGCAGGATTCAACCCGTCGCCTGATTCAATCCCCCCTGGATCTTCCCCGAATCCCTCCACTTCCTGCCATCCTCTACCGGACCCCAAAACTCCTCTCCATTCCCGGTCATCTTTCCGCCGGCAGCGCAAGCCCGAACCGCAGCGCTTGCCACCCTCGACTGGACGAGACGAGGCTCCAACCGTCCGTCCACCGTTGCGAGGTGAAAGTCAGCTGGTCACCGTGGTCTTGGCCGAGGACTTCGGGCATTTGTGCGGCGTGCTCGTGGCGGGCGCCCCGCTGCCGCGCGCCGAGCCGCTGCTGCCACCGGAGGCGC